TCCTCCTTTAAATTTTTAACTTTGAATTACTCTATGAGTTGTTTTCCTCTCTGAAATTCTTCGTCTGATAATGTTGACTTCATCATGGTTATTTTCTTCATGACATCTGCATCTGCTGTCTCAATAGTCTGTGGCATTTGTTCTATTGTGACTGGCTGCAACTCACAGATGACTGCTCTGGGTGGAATGTTGATAGTTCCCGTTGTCACATTTAAAACGCATATATTGATTGTAAAAGTAAGTCTTTTGTATTGTTTCCCTTTCTCTGCCTCTGCTTTCTGTACGCCTCTTGTTAATATTTCTCCTGATTTCTTCATGTACTTGTATCCCAGCATCCATGCTTTAAGATCACTTGGATTACTAATTTTTGGCATCTCTTTTAATTCCTTAATGTGTTTTAATAAGCTATCGTACTCATCCTCAGTTTCGTTGTCTTGTGTTTCATTTGTTTCATGACTCTCTTCTCCTGTATTTTCCAATTCAGTGGTCTTTTTATCTTCCCCAGTTGCCATGCTGTATTGTAGTCGGAATTTGCGGAAAATAGAATTGAGTATTCAAAACACGAAAACGCGTTGTACATGAACTCTCGAGCAATAACACGACTAAGTCTTGCGAGATTTTAAAATGAAATTGTAATTCCTAAATTCTAAATAAATTTAAATAAAGTTAATAACTAAACTTAATTAAATTAAGTAATTATCAGCTGAAAAAAAATTAATTAAACCTGAAATGCAAATTTGATTGAATGTTTTATCAAACTAAATAACTAATTTCCTAATTAGTACTATGTAAAATTAATGAGGACAATTGATGACAGACTCGAATTGATCAGAAATGTAACTTACTTGCACTAAACAGAGTCAAATACAACACAACTCCTTGAACAACAAACCACTGAACTTCAAATGACAACTTTAAAGAGAATGCACAACTGTGCGCAATCAAAATGTGTGTGTTTCCTTTCAGACAACACTATCTCTCAACTGAAATTCCAAGTAGTTTTTACTCCTATTTATTTCATGTTTAAAAATGAATGCTTTTTTTTTTTTTTTCAAAAATCAATAAATGAATGCCTTAATCTGTATCGTATCAAAAAAAAAAATAACTCTCTAAAGAATGACGGCGGGTCTTACCTTCCAAAAAGGGAAACTTTCTCGTCCTTGGCATCTGATGTCCACTCTGATGTTTTTAGAGGCCCGTGTTTGCTTTATGACATTGCGTCCCCGCCTCTAGAATTCCCAGGATTCCGTGTTTTATGTTCTATTAACATACTAGGTATACTCTGTAGATTGAGATCTATTCTTGTACTATACGTCCTTTTTATTTTGATTGTGAATAAATTATTTTATATTAAAGTTGTGAATTCATTATCATAGACTGTAATTTTGAATAAATTATTTCATATTGAAGTTGTGAATTAATTATCATAGATTGTTATTGTGAATATATAATTTTATATTGAAGCTGTAAATTAATTATCATAGATTGTAATTGTGAATAAATTATTTCATACTGAAGTTGTGAATTAATTATCATAGTTCGTTATTGTGAATAAATTATTTTATATTAAAGTTGTGAATTCATTATCATAGACTGTAATTTTGAATAAATTATTTCATATTGAAGTTGTGAATTAATTATCATAGATTGTTATTGTGAATATATTATTTTATATTGAAGATGTAAATTAATTATCATAGTTCGTTATTGTGAATAAATTATTTTATATTGAAGTTGTGAATTAATTATCATTGTTTGTTATTGTGAATAAACTATTTTATTTTGAAGTTGTGAATCAATTATCATAGATTGTTGTTGTAAATAAATTATTTAATATTGAAGTTGTAAATTAATCATCATAGAATTTTATTGCAATTAAATTATATTATATTGAAGTTGTGAATTAATTATCATGGATTGTTATTGTGAAAAAAATATTTCATATTGAAGTTGTGAATTAATAATCATAGATCGTTATTGTGAATAAATTATTTTATATTGAAGTTCTGAATTAATTATCATAGATTGTTATTGTGAATGAATTATTTTATATTAAAGTTGTGAATTATCATAGATTGTTATAGTGAAAAATTTATTACATTATTGAGCTGAATCTGTGAGTAAATTATTAGATAATGTAACTGTGAATTAATTATTCTATGTAGAAGATATGAGTAAATTAATACTCTCCCGCTTAAAAAAGCAGAGAGAAAGTAGAGATAAGGTGTCCGTCTATCCGTCCATTTTACACTTTGGGGTACCCCTCTCTTATCTGCAACTCCTCTTACATGAATACCACAGAATGAAATTTTACTGAGATTTTCACAGAATCTTTGTTACACATTGCCATTATGACCTCTTAATTTACTTTTTGGTCCAACACATATGTCGGGCTTCCGAGAGGAAATAGCAATAATTTTTGAAGTGTTGGTGTTAGGGCTTGCATACTTTGCATGTACATGTATATTCACTGTAACAAGGGCTGTCCTCAGGTATAATTTATTTATTTATTTATTTTTTTTTATATTTTGGACTTGATCTTAGAAACTTACCCACTTTTATAAAACGTCAAGGTTTATTATATCTCTTCAACATTTAGTACTAAGGCTTTAATTTTCATGGGTGTATTCCTTGTGACAAGGGCTTGTAGCAACCGCTAATTATATAACACCGCTTTGTGATAGAAATACCACTAAGCGTTCCAATGAATTGTTGTCATAAATTGTTACATTAAAAGTTGACGCTATCAACCGCTTTATGATATTCGTTCATTAAGCTTTGATTTAGCATTAGCGGTTCTGAAATTCAACTATGAACGGCATAAATTGCTGGCATTTAGCGTTGAATTGTCTATATCAATTAGCAGCGTTATATAATTAGTGGTTGCTACAGGACCCATTTTGGATACCAACACTTTAACCATTTGAACTTGGAGTTTAACCCTCTTTTTCTCCTTGGCAATAACTTCTAAACAGATTGTGCAAGGGCTTTTATATTTCAAAAGTGCATTTCTAATTGTGACAGGGCCTTTCCCGGGTTATTAGTCATTTTAATCCTTTGACAATCAGTTGGATTTTGACCCACTTTTAAAATCTTAAAATTTGGTGGAAAAAAAAGCACAACTGAGACTTACACATAGGTTTCATATATTTGAATATTTCACAAGAATTTTTTTATTATGGCATCCTACATGTAACAAAAAGACTTTGTGAAAAACATGGTGACTTCAACTTTCCTACTGTCTCCTTCCCTTTATATGTAGCAATATACCATTTTAACCTTCATATGAAATTTATCTCCCACTTGATCACTACACAAGAGCATGTTATATGCATGAACAATTTCCGAAACATGTCAAGTAACTGGCAAATAAGTTGATCACTAAAGAATATAAAAAGAAATTCTAAAAATTGCGCAATTTTTATGGTTGATTCAATTACCTTGTTAGGAAATACAATCTGTCGTTAAGTTCAATGTTAAGGTCAAGATCTAGTAAATGAAAGATGCCTACAGATTTATCAAACTTGAGAAATAGATTCCTTTATTGATGCTTTACAACTTTAGCTTGGTCAAATAAGGTGTTTCTGGACATAATTTGTAAGTAAACAAGATGAAAAACTGTATTTTAAACTGTCATTTTCAATGAACAGTCAAGAATATGGGAGTTTTTTTCGAATTCGGCAAAGGAAATGTATCTAGACTGCCTACAGTCTCTCAGAAAACGGTTATTAGTAACTTCATGGCCTCTTCTTTAAATCAATATCAAATTTAATATAGGTAACCGGTTTACTTTTCATATGATTTCAAATTCTATGCAATGAAAATACCATATTTTCTACATAATTCTGCTAAAGCCGTAAAGTACGGGAAAAAGAAAGCTGAAATTGATTATGACGTCATAATGGATCTAGCGCCAAAAAATTATTCTCAAGTTATTTACTAGATCTTGACCTTAACTTACATTTTTCATAGAAAAAAAAATGAAATGGTAAAGTCATTATATTTACAATGAATTGTCTATGCATTTTCCCATTTGTCATGACAAGAAGTACTCAGCAGGTGTGACAGGTCACACTCCTCCATAACACCTGATCCCATCTATGATGTTTGGAAGGTCCATATTGCTAGTATTTTTATGTTCCTGTGGACTTGGAGTTTGCTTACTGCTGTTTGTATATCACTATGGACTTTGGAGCTTTCTTACTGCTGTTTGTTGAATTTAATAGTTTTCTTACTGCTGTTTGTATGGATTTTATAGCTTTCTTACTGCTGTTTGTATATTCCTATGGATTTTATAGCTTGCTTACTGCTGTTTGTATGAATTTTATAGCTTTCTTACTGCTGTTTGTATATTCCTATGGAGCTTGCTTACTGCTGTTTGTATATTCCTATGGAGCTTGCTTACTCTGTTTGTATGGATTTTATAGCTTGCTTACTGCTGTTTGTATGAATTTTATAGCTTTCTTACTGCTGTTTGTATATTCCTATGGAGCTTGCTTACTGATGTTTGTATGTTCCTATGGAATTTGAAGATTGCTTAATGCTGCTTGTATGTTCTAATGGATATTGGAGTTAGCTTACTGCTGTTTTTATGTTCTTATGGACTTTGCTTACTGCTGTTTGTATGTTACTATTGACTTTGAAGCTTGCTCACTGCTGTTTGTATGTTCCTATTGCATTTGGAGCTTGCTCCGTGCTGTTATTTATCTTATATTGTACTTGAACCTTATGAAGAAAAGTCAACAGTTTGCCCTGTTCATGTGGAGAGAAGTTTTTTTGAATAATACACCATTCTTGTTTGTTTTGACCCCACCTACCAAAATTCTCAATCATTATTTCCTTTTATCCATTGACGATATAGGCCAAAATTGAATGAAGTGTTGAAGGTGAAAATGTTACACAGTTTTAAGGCATGAGAGAGAGAGAGAGAGAGAGAGAGAAGCAACTGTGCATAAAATATAAATGGCAGTACTCCAGTAAGTAAGGACACTTGTTCACCATTTCTCAGGTACAAAGGACCCAGTTTATTCATTTCTTCTCAGAGATTATTAATCTTCACTTTCTCACTGTTTAATTTTAACTGTGAAAAAAAAAATTTGAATGCTTAAAAAAAATTACACTGAACAATGGCTATACAACTGGTATAATAAAGATTCAAAGCAACAAAAGAAAAAAAGCCTTACTGCTCATAATGATTGAGAAGTCAACAAAACTAACAATAAAATCAAAAGTAACAAACAAATAACACGGATTATCACATGATTAACACTAATGGCAAGCTGATCAGCTGATCCTTAATGTCACCTTGTGTTCCACTAACACCCCCACTGTCACTAATTACTCACATTCTTCTTTTTTCTCCTTACATAATGGTCAAATCAACAAGAGTACATAAGTGTTTAAGTCAAATACATGTAATAAGCTCTCATACATACTTAAATTATTATTAGCCTATACAATATTTACAACTCTGTACTGTTAAGCATTACTTCAAGGTTTCTTAGAAATATACATGCATTCATGTTTAAATAAAATCTTGTTTGAAAAATTCTTGCTTAGAAAGGAACTTCTGTACAACAACAAATTTGATATTTTTTCGTATGTATTCAATATTATAATGCTTTTTCATGCACAGACGTTAAAATCGTGTACATTTTTAACGTCTCGTCACAGAACTTAACAACCTCCTGAAACAGCTCTCCCTACATATCACAAAAAACACTCAAGGAATAATTGTCCTGGCCAGAGTAACAATGAATGGTAACTTTATGTTAGAATCCTGGCTGAGCCATTAACAGACCAGACATTCTCGTCCTAACCAGGGCATTAAACAATCATCACTGTCATCACAAAGATAATGGACCAATCATCAATGCCTTAGTTAGAACAATTATTTACAACAAAATTGATCATAAATATCCTTGCCAGGACAAATTAATAAGACTGGTCTTTATTGTCCTTTTTAGGATGATATTAAACAGGTCAGTCAGTTGGCCCTAGCTGGGACGACATTGACTGGTCAGATGGCCATAGATAGGATGACATATACTGGTTAGTTAGCCCTAGCTAGGACGACACTGACTGCATGGACAATTGGCCCTAGCTAGGACGACATTGAACAGACTGGTCATTATTGTTCTGCTCCTCTTCGTCCACATCAAACACTCCTGTAATCCTGTACCCCATGTTCATCAGCATGACCTCTAGGGGGTCAGCATTCATCCTCTTCTGATTGGCTAGAGCTGCATCGTCAGAATTGTCCACTTCCCGCTCATCTTTTGTCCCATCCTGTACATACACAGATAAGTAAACATCAGTATTCTACATAAAGATTTTATATGAATTGTCTTTTGTACCATCCTGTACATACACAGATAAATAGTATTCTCAGTCTTCACAAAAACTTTCAGACTAACTGGCCAGTTGGACCAGTGAACTTTCAAAATATACTAGCCCACCAAAATTTTAGTGGTCCCTTTCATAAAAAATAAAATAAATACATTTTCATAAATGTAAATGTAAATTTATACATGTTTACGTACTTCAACTTTTGAAATGCCGCCATTTTTCGCCCTTTGTCGCGTTTCAGTAAGTTGTTTGTTGGAACTTTGCACATTTTACGTACTAGTTAATAATTACTAGCTACTTCCGGTTGTTACGTAATTGCGTGGTTAAATAAAAAAGTGTGATTACAAATTATGTTGACTGTGCAATCATTAAGGAGAACACAGTTTTGTATTAGTCACTTTTAGCTTATACCTGCCTTTTCAAACATAATGAGACACACTGAGATGCCATATGACATCGTAATGGAAGAATTTCATGTGGACAATGTGCAAAGACAAAATTTTATCTACACCCAGACAAAATAATAAATGTATTGATTGTGTTACCTCTGCCCTGGGGCTCCAGAGTCTGACCACTGGGTCAATGCCACTGGTTGCTAGGAGACAGTGGGTGGGGTGGGGCTGGAGGCAGTTAACAATGGAGTCATCTCCCCTTAACACTCGTACAATATTAGTCGTGTCTCGCTCCCAAATAAAAAATGATCCGTCATCTGACCCCGCCACTACATACTGACCATTGCTGTCAAGAATCAAAGTAATTAACCATAAAAAACGTTATCAAGTTATTTCATAATGCAGCAATATTATGATTATTTGGCCTACATTGGGAAAAAACTGAAGTGTAAAAAATATTTCTGGCATTCAATATTATTACAAATCTTCTTTGAAGTATAATAATAATAAATTAGTGACTCTTCATCCCACAGGATTCATGACTCACCTGCCAAAGTAGTTGGCTTCTTTGATGTCAGTGGTGGTGTTACAGTGACCACAGAATCGGGCCTCGTAATCGCTGGCCAGGGCTCGCCAGCAGGTCTCCTGGTCAGAGATGGACAGGCCACGCCTCCCCGGGGACACAGAGTCTGGGGTATCCGACGATGAATCAGGCTTCTCCTCTGTAAAGATCACTGAGAAATTACACACTGATTTCATTGTTTTTTTTAATGTGCAATGTTAGAGAATCAATTTTAACATTGAACAATTTTTGCAATGTAAATTTGTGAAATATAAACTTAACTTTTTCCAATAAAAAATTAAAGGTGATATGTGTGTGTGTTTAATTAAATTGCTTTGAAGTGATTGCCATGAATTCTTTGGTGTTAACTCCAGCTTTAGATTGCCTCCTGTTATGGAGTAAATAGCTGCTTTAAACTGACCCATGTTTTGGAGTGAATAGCTTTTTAACTAACCCCCATGATCTGTTTTGGAGTAGATAGCTGCTTTGATGTCCTTATCCAAGGTTTCACATGCGTTACTCTTTGCGTAATCAGGAAATTTATGCTTGAATTCCTGTAGACAATCGTAAGCTTCCTGGGGCCATGAGAGTTCATACAGACACCGGGCCAGTCGAAAGTGAGCTTTTAAATGGTTTGGGTCAATGTGTAGAGCACTGTGACAGTCTCTAAGAGCGGCGTACAGGTCTCCATCCCTGTACAAACATACAGGGTACATACATGTATAAATCAGTGTCTCTATGGATACAAGCAGTATGGTAATCAAAATCTAAATATGTATCAAGAAAACAAGAATAATTATAGTATTTAAAATGTCTTCTGGAAAATATCATATTTAAAATGTCTTCTGGAAAATATCATAAAAATCGGTATATTTTTTATTCTTTGAAAACAGCAGAAAGATTTATCACTAGCTCTAATGTCTGAAATTTACAAATTAAACAATTTCAGCAGACTAATAAACCAGAGTCAATGCAAGCCCCTTAAACCAAAAAAACTTTTACTCACCACTTCCTTTTCATAAAAGCTGCGGCCCTATTGCCGTAGAGCACTGATGCCCAGGGGGCTCTCTGGATAGCCTGGTTATATAGAATAATGGCTTTAGAACACTGGTCCAGCTCAAAGTAACGGTTGGCTTTCTTCTTTATAACCTCCACTGCTGGGGGGATTGGTTTGGCACTAATGGGGGTTTTCTGCCTGCCAAAGAAAAATTCTGTGTACAAAAATCTAATTATGAAATTCAAGTGATTTATTGAAATTTTATGCAGTTAGTTAACAAAGATAATTTTTAAAATATGGTCCTTTGAATTGCTTATTTTAAAAATCTTTTTACATGATGCACTCATTCCCTGGTCTTCGGTCTAGTTTCAGACCCCCTCTTTCTTTCTCATAATTGCCTCTTTTTTACTGAGAAATCTCTGTGTTTTTCCTTAGTCTAGCTTTACCCCTCCCCTTATCATTACCTCTTTCTTGCTGAGGGGTCCCTATGTTTTTCCTCCACTTCCATCTCTGCCTTCATCACTGCTGCTGCAGCAGCTGTCACGCCGTTTGAGACGCCGTTTGTCACACCATTAGAAGCACCATTCTTATGAGAGTGTAAGTGGAAGCCATTACTGCTACCAGCGTCTGTGTCAGAGATTTAAACAAGAGATTTTAACAAGTCAAAAATATGGACCCCTGTTACTGTAATTCAGAGTTCAGAGGTGGGATCAGGTGCCTGAGCAGAGTAAGCATCCCCTGTCCATTGGTAACACCCACCCTGAGTCTCCTAATTTGATATTTATTTTTAGCTCACCTGAGCTGAAGGCTCAATGTGAGCTTTTCTGATCAAAATTTGTCTTGCTTTCGTTGTTGTCGTATTTTTTTTCACATTTTCATTTTTAACTTTCAACCATACTTGTAAAATTATCCTTAAAACATTTTTCAGTGATTCATGCAAGGGTAATTATGAATTAGAGAAAAATTAATGGTATTTCTAAAAAATCTTCTTCTCAAAAGAAAGATGAAACTCATGTAATCATTGTAGTTTTTCAAATTTATTCAAATCATGACCCCCAGGGTAGGGTGGGGCCAAAATGGCCGATCAAAGTTTTACATAGGAATATATAGGAACAAGAGGCCCATGGGCCACACCGCTCACCTGAGAAGCTTTGACCATTCTGTTTTTTACCAGATTTTCCCCTTGTAATACATAATGCATCCCCACCCTACCCCACTGATCATAATTTAGACATTTTGAAATCTACACTACCTCAGGATCCTTCCATGTGCACATAAGTTATGTTATATCGTATATCAGAAGTTTTCAAAAATTTTTCTATATATTCCTATGTAAAATTTTATTTGGCAATGTATGACAATTTAGAATCTACACTACACTAGGATGCTTTCACGTACGTTTCAGCTTTTCTGACCCAGTGGTTCTTGAGAAGAAGATTTTTTAATGACCCCACCCTATTTTTGTCTTTTCTTGATTATCTCCCCTTGTGAGAAGACTAATGGCCCTTTATTTTAACAATTTAAATTCCCCTTTACCCAGGGATGCTTTGTACCAAGTTTGGTCAAAATTGGCAAAGTGGTTCTTGAGAAGAAGTCGAAAATGTAAAAGTTTACAGATGGATGGACGGACGACGGACAAAATGTTATGTTCGGCTCAGGTGAGCAAAATCTTTAAAACTTCTTATAACCATCAACATGGAAAGAACAAACTAAAATTAAATTATTTCTTTATAGTCTTATGATAAAATTTATTTTACATAGGAATATAAAATCTTTAAAAATCTTTTTAAGATAAAAATTGAAACTTTAATCATCTTCAGGTAGTGTAGATGTTTGTTCAGCCTTTTTTTTTACAAGGAATATATAGTAAAACTTTTAAAATCTTCTTTTCAATTTTTCAAAGCCATGCTTAGTGATTTTATATTCTTCAGGTAGTGTAGATTCTAGTTTGTCCTGCCAAAAACTGATTATTCATGTAATTTATTAAACCTATCAGTTTTTAGAAATAAATCCAAAGCAACTAGCATCAGTTTTTCAAGGTTTTTAACTTCAGTTACAAAACATTTTCAGTTATGTAACAGGTGTGGTATACATTACAAAACCCAGTGATTCTGCTTTTTTCCTTTATAGTCTTATCATAAAATTCATTGGTGTAAAATTGTAAAGATAAAACGTTAAACTTTAAAAAGTCTATGCTTCCAGCCTTCTTTTTTGCCAATTTAAGTATTTTTGTGTTAATTTTACTGCTTTGTTGCAAATTTTCTTTTTCCTTAGTCTTCCTGCCAAAAACTGATTATTCATGTAATTTATTCTTTTTTCTAATAAAGAAAAACCTCATCAAAACACAGATATTATACAAATAAAAAACACTTTCTCTGACCTTTAACAATGCCATTGGCAGCCAGAACCATAGATATATCAAATTTTTCTGCCTTTCTGCGTCTGTTGACATCAAAGATGTAGACCTGTTCTCCCCCCAGATTGACCAGAAGTTCGCGACCGTCAGGGCTGAAGGTCAGGTAGGTGGAGGCCAGGGTTCGGTAGCGCTTCTTGTAATCTTGCTGCTTTTGTGGCAGATGACCTAAACACATCCAATTGAAAATAAAATGAGCTTACAACAAAACTTATTAAAAGCCTGTTAATGTGCAAATATATATAGGTAAAAGAAATGAAAATCAGTAATCAAAAGGTGTAAAATGTAGGACTATTTGACAAATTTTAATTTACATCCTGAGAATCAAAATCATGGTTTTTCTCTTAAAATCAGGATAAAAAAAAACACAATTTCTTCCAAAACAGTTTATGTTTTAACACCAGGTGTACACATACCTGCGATAAAATATGTGACAGCATCATGAGGAATGGGAAATTCATCAGGTGAGGCAGGTACCAGGGGACTAGACCTTTCCCACGACCAAGGAGATCTGTAATGTAAGCAATGTATGATCTTTACTCTATTAGATCTGCAGCTACACTATCCAGCTCTTCAATAAGCTGTTATGCTTATCTATTAGCCATTTAATATTTTCATCATCAAATCATCATCAAATAAAGAACAGAATCCACAAATAAATTACAGTCATTTTTTTTAAATTCATGTACAAATGTTTAACCCCTGTGACCTGTTAGTGCTTTCCTGTGGCAGTTTGAGACTGCGACAGACCAGCATGCGTCGGTCGTACATTCTGATGTAGGGATCGTTAGCACCCACCGCCAGGTACTCGGGGCGGAGTGGATTGATGGCCAGACATTTAGCCTCGGCGCTGTGACCCATGTGAGCATTCAGATTTACAATGACGTTCTTTGGATTAGACTGACTCGACTCCGGGCTTCTGAGATCAAATTGCCTACAACAGAAGAATTAAATAATGTCATAACATTCAAAATTCTGTATTTATAACAATTCAAAGAAAATATTTTAATATGAAATTTATTTCCTTGAAGTTTGAAATCTTTCATTGATAACCTCCCTTGAGATTAAACTTATTTCTTTGCGTCCTCTTTTTGACCTTTCTATGCTAATATCTTACATGTGTATGCTAATATCTAACATGTGTATGTTAATATCTTACATGTGTATGTTAATATCTTACATGTGTATGTTAATATCTTACATGTGTAAGTTAAGATCTTAAATGTGTGTGTTAATATCTTACATGTGTGTGTTAATATCTAACATGTATGTGTTAATATCTTACATGTGTATGTTAATATCTTACATGTGTATGTTAATATCTTATATGTGTATGTTAATATCTTACATGTGTATGTTAATATCTTACATGTGTATGTTAATATCTTACATGTGTGTGTTAATGTCTTACATGAGTGTGTTAATATCTTACATGTGTGTGTTAATATCTTACATGTGTGTGTTAATATCTTACATGTGTATTTTAATATCTAACATGTGTATGTTAATATCTTACGTGTATGTTACTATCTTACATGTGTATGTTAAAATCTTATATGTGTATGTTAATATCTTACATGTGTATGTTAATATCTTACATGTGTATGTTAATATCTTACATGTGTAGGTTAATATCTTACATGATGGTGCCGTCCTCGGCGGCGCTCCAGAACATGAAAGGCACATTAGGGGCCACGGCGAGGCGCTTGACCCGCCCCACATGGCAGGAGAAGACGTGTGTGTTCTCATTGACACTCAGGTCGTGTACTCGTATCTTACAATCCGCAGCCCCTGTTACCAGAATGGAGTCTTTGGTATTCGGCAAAAACTGGGGGAAAAATAAATTTTCTTTATTTACTGTAAAAGCAGAAATATTTGTGGGGGATTAAATTTTGTTTATTTTGTTGTTAACAATTATAAATAAAATAAAATCCAATATAAAAATTTATATGACTAAATATTGTATAGGGTTACTTGAAAAACAACAAATTAAATTAAATGCCCTGAAAACTATTTTAGATGACAATTCGACAAAATTTTATTCCCATGAAAATTTGTGCTCTTACTTTATTTTATATCTTCCTTAAGTTTATAAAATAACAGAAAATAAAACTGAAATAAATAAATTACATTGAAAACAACACTGAGTGAAATGTTTGATCAGGTCATCTCCATTAATGGCTTTCAATAAGGTTTTTCCTCGGTAAAGGCAAATATGGCAATGTATGAAATCAAAGCTGCATTCTGTATATTTTTATTTAAAGTTGACAGTGGTGTTTTGGCATACTTACTTTAACAGAAAAAATATTCCCCTGGTGTCCAGTGCTGACTGTGGCTTTTGTGCGGTTTCTAAAGGGATCCCAAAGAATCACATTCAGGTCGTCTGACCCACTGGCCAATAACCTAAAAAAAAATCAGTAAATCATACTCTTTACACTCTAAAAAATGACTGTAACATTAATAAGAAGTGAATGAAGAACACAAGAAAGTAATTCTTAGCTAAAACCCTGACCTGACCAGAAGCATTTTTTTTCATTTATCATTTAATGACCTTCATTGGACATGTTGGACTAGAAGCATTACATGTATCTATATTTTAAAACAATTTAATAGCTGCATCTGTCTCGACATAAATTCATTTTCATAAGGGCACGCACGGTAAGACTTTCTAGTTAAAATATTTCTAAAAAGATATCTACATCAACCACACATCATGTTCATTACAAGCCTTGTTTTTCCAGTGATCTTATAATAAGTCCTGCTCTGATAGATGTTGTACAGTTCCTTATGTCGGCATCGCTCTACATGAACACCTAAGTATACAGCGTATGTCTCCTACTCTAACTCACTTACTAACTGACAAAGTAAGTTACTTACGTTCCCTGTTCGTTCCATTCAAGACAATTAACACAGCCATGATGACCCTTTAAAAAAGTAAGTGTCCTTTATTGTATCAACATGATCAATATAATAGGTATTTTCCATATGGTGGCCCATCAAATATAGAACAATCTCCATGTTTCAGAAATAAAATAAGAGTTTTTCACAATCAGAATGCTAGTTTTTAATGCACTTTTCATTTACATAAGTTCCAGAAAATATTAATTTTTTGAATATTCTTAAGCCCTGTTAAAGTAAGAAGGGTTTGACTAATTACCTGGAGTTCTCTCTCCAGCCCAAGTCTCTGTATAAGATCTGGCGTCACTTGAAGCTGTCGTTGAAACTGGTGAGTATTCAAATCCTGTTCACATACAAATTTAAGTTGTGAATAAATAAAACTAACAGAGAATGAATTCAAAATCAGGAATCAAATAATGTTTTAAAGATATTTTGTAGTTAAATGCATTCAACAGGAAACAATCCAATTATCGACATGTTTAACCGAATGGTAACGGGTGGGTTCGCACTGATTACGTGTTCGCGCTGAGTGGTATCGCGCTGATTGATTTCAACCGGTTTAACTACAGGTTATGTACAGGTATGTGTTCGTCTATTACATGATTTATTTCACACACAGCGGTAATTAATTAATTAAATAACATTTAATACCTGATACAGTTTGACAATACATGTATTTACTAATTCAAAAATATCCCATCATGAAATTCAGTGCAACATATATCGATTCATTTAGACAAATAAATAGGGTCTGCATAAATAAATACATCTAATACTTCCCAATATCTATTTTAGTTTAACAAAAATAAATTACTTATAGTTTATTAATGGATATATATCAGTGGATACATAGCCATACATGTAGCCACTATAAACATTTTCGGTATATCGAATAAAACTTTCGTATACCGGTAGATAGATAACATTTTAAAAAAAACACAGTGGCGGCCCGGCCTTTAATCTTTAATTTCCATTAAGCTGCTCATCATAAGTCTAATGTCAGATCAATCGACCAAAGACAAGCAGACATTGATTATGTATAAACCCAATCTGGGCGAATCCACACTGCGCAAACAAATAAAAGGGGCAAAACCACTCTGAGCGAACAAGGATTTGGGCAAAACCATCCGCGTTCAACCCAATCAGCCATAATTGGTTACTGGAACATATAGATGAAAGTCACCTAGCACTTATCAGGTCCAGTACAATACCCTGATATAAAAGGTATATTATAGCTTGATAAAGCTATTATAGCTTTAACAAGCTATAACAAATACCTTAATCAAGGTACTTTATGTAATGAAAATTCAAAAAAATCCTTTAAAAATTAAATACTGAAAGTCGAGTTCTGAGTTTTTGTCAGTGTGTCCACCTGTGCATGAAAAGCACCCTGGTATCAAAAAGACAGCATAGAAGAACGTATCTGTATCTGTATTGTTACATGACGGAGAGAGGGCGCGTTTAGTTGCGCTGATGTTCTAGTGCTGACTTGAAGCTATCCGCTCTGCTGTTGTTTCTTATCCTATTATATATTAAATTTGATGTATGGTAATCTTCTTACACTTTGGGTCTGATGTTTCTTTTCTGTTTTTGAAACTTGATGTCTTGATCGGGTGCAATGGCTGGTTTCTAGTAAGGGAAGGTCAAGTTCTTTGAGCATCTTTGTCATTGTGCCCTCTTCCCTTGATTTATAATCTTTCATTATAAATCTCGCACCTCTTCTTTGTATGGATTCTAATTTTGTTGTTTCTTGTTTGGTATGGATCCCAGATGACAGCTCCATACTCCATTATGGATCTTACTAGTGCTAGATATGCAATTTTTCTACATTCCCTTGGGCAACGTTGTAAGTTCCTTCTTAGGAAGCCTAAGGTGAAATTGGTTTTGTTTGAGATGTTGTTTATGTGTTCTTTCCACCATAGATCTTCTGATATTTGGATTCTTAAGTAGGGGTTTGATGCCATTTGTTCTAAGGTCTTATTATAACGTCTCCTCACACGACATGATTTTATTAATAATATACTGATTTCTTTGTGTTTGAGTGCTTTACACGCATGGGTGAATATTTAATGACAACAACTCAGAACTCGACTTTCAGTATTTAATTTTTTAAGATTTTTTTTTAATTGTCATTACATAAAATACCTCAATCAAGGTATTTGCTATACCTTGATAAAGCTATATAGCTTTATCTAGCTATATACCTTTATCAGGGTATTGTGCTGGACCTGCTTGTATCTTGCCATATAAATATCTGCAGTTCACCGTCAGAGTTTAGACAGAGATTCCTCAAGTTTATAAAAACCTTAAGAATATCAGGACCTCAGTTCGGGGTGATTAGACATTAGGATTCTGAGGAGCATCTGCTCATGTTCCCTCTCAAATGTCAAACACTAAACAGTCAAACAAATTACAGCATGACTTGTGGAATAAAGTACGACATTTATTTCTTCGAATAAAAAGAACCCGTTCAACTTAATTTTATCAAAGCAAATACACAGTTTTAAATAACCATAAATCTGACTTACACCAACTTCTCTTTGAAACTTTCTCTTTAGTATTCCAGACTGAAACGCCATTACATCAGGCCATAAAAAATACACCGGCAGAATTCTCAGTACACCGGGAAAATTGGTAAATTGACATAATAAGTAGATAGAAAAGGGGTTTTTCTTCCAAGTTTTACGGCTGTTTCAATAAAATTGGCATACTGTCGACTAAAACGCGAGCATTTCTGAAGGCTAGTTTCAGTGACAAGATTATTGGTAAATGTTTTGACAATTATTACGGAACGTCAAATATGATATTTTGCAAAACGAAGAAAATTTCATTGTTTGATTTTATAAGATGACAAATGAAAATATAAAAAATATCAGGATTTAAAGGAGAAATCGAATCAAATAATTATGATTTTAATTATATCTAAAAAACTAAGATTTAAAAAAAATATGTATCTTTTTTTTCGTTTTTGTTTTTCTGTTCAGTATTATCTTCGTCTTTTTTTTAATGAGAAATTCTTTATCTGTGTAAAAGAACAGAAAATATATATTTCAGTATCAAGACAATAAGTTAAAATTATTCCATACAGAATAGTTTTTAAATAAATATCCTCTTCTGAAGAATTTTATTTTTACGACATCAACATTGTTGATTATACTCGTTTCCGGTAAGGGATCCAGTGACTAGGAGAGGGAGCACTGAGTACGGACAGTTTGACTTACTCGCTTCAAGAAACTTTAACACATTTCTTTCCATGACACAAAAATCCAAAATTTATTCATATTTGGCTTCATTCTTTTAAATCCAAGTTACAACAGTGTGTTCCATGTACGCGTGTTAAGATCATAAGAGGTATATGTAAGTCGATATCATGTTGACAATGTGAATGTTTCGAATTTCCTCTGTGTGATGGTGTCAGGTTACGTTCTGATTCCGTGTTCAATACGCGTGGTAACGACCCTAGTGCTTATGACCTGCTCCTATTAAATTTCTACACGTCAGTACCTGAGGACAGGGTACACACTTAGATAGAAAGTTCTATCGTTTATATGATAAATGTCCTACGGACCCGGTTTGTGGTGAGGGCTTGTCCTGAGACACAGTTAGATTATTCTAACTAGGTACACACTGTGCAGTAAACACTGTAAACTTAACATGTGAGGGCGAGTATTATCGAGAGATGGATAGAAACTAGGGATGTCAAAATATTAATTTTCCTTAGTCGAACATTCGATTGCATTATTCGAACGATAGTCGACTATTCGGAGCATTTATTATTTTTTTTTATAGCACAATGTTTTTGAAAGCTTATTAATTAAAATATAAATTGGGACATTAAAATAAATTGGAAATGGGGAATTGTAAGCACACACTATCCACACCTCCGATGAAAATTTTAAATACTGTTTGTTTAATTAATAATTGCCCAAGCTATATATCAAAATGTCTTTTATGTAAGATTATTGTTTTAATAATTATCGAAATTAAAAACTTCATGGCTATGCAAATATTGTGTGTTCCTAACCATTTGAAATTCCTACAGTTTATAAATATAATTGGTACAAGTCAGTTAAATAATTTTCATAGTCCAGTATAGCGTCGCATAATTTACTACGTACAACAACAGAAAAAGTCAGTGATTGAGAAATAATTATCGCGGTATGTAATTACTACATATTTTTATGCCCCGCCATGAATATGGCTGGGGCATAAAGTGTTTGTCATGTCCGTCTTCTGTCCTTCTTTCCTTCCGTCCTTCCATCCTTCCGTCACACTTTGCGTTTAGCTCTGTTCAAAGCTAAGTTTCAAAGAAACTATCCAAGATATTTTCATCAAACTTTATATGCTGATAGATATTGATAAGAGCTATGTAACTGCATCAACATTTTTTGACCTTGACCTTTTCTTTGACCTTGACCTCACTTTTCTTAAATTAGTGTTTAGCTGAGATTTAAACATACCATTCAAGATGGTGTTATCAAACTTCACATGTTGATACAAACTTGCACGGATGATGCATCTAGGGATGAACACTACCAGACTTGCTTTGGATGCTGGATCTGACCTACATTTTCCAGATGATTGACCAGGTCAAAGCTTTTGGAGCAGGTCCATTCCTAAGGAACTATAAGCCCTACTTAGACCAAACTTGCATGGATGATGCATCTAAGGATGGACACTACCAGACTTGCTTCGGATGCTGAATCTGACCTACATTTGCCAGATGAGTGACCAGGTTAAAGTTTTTGGAGCAGGTCCATTTCCAAGGAACTATAAGCCCTACCCAAACCAAATTTGCATGGATGATGCATCTAGGGATGAACACTACCAGACTTGCTTCGGATGCTGGATCTGACCTATATTTTCATTCCCAAGTAAGTATAAGCCCTGCCTGAACCAAACTTGCATGGATGATGCAGCTAAGGATGGACACTACCAGACTTGCTTCGGATGCTGGATCTGACCTAGATTTTCATTCCCAAGTAACCATAAGTCCTACCTGAACCAAACTTGCATGGATAATGCATCTAGGGATGGACACTACCAGACTTGCTTCGGATGCTGGATCTGACCTATATTTTCATTCCCAAGTAACTATAAGCCCTGCCTGAAGCAAACTTGCATGGATGATGCATCTAGGGATGGACACTACCAGACTTGCTTCGGATGCTGGATCTGACCTACTTTTTATTCCCAAGTAACTATAAGCCCAACCTGAACCAAACTGATCAAATTTCATACACATACAAATTTTCATGTCGTTTAACTAATATATATCCTCGGCGGGGCATTCATGTCATATGGACATATTTCTAGTTGATATTTACAATGTGGAAAATTATTTCTATACTGTGACTGTTTTTGAGCTCTTATTCGTCTGAGGACGTACACTTTAGTTTACAGCTGTATAGTTTGAGGAAGGGCCCCTTTTCAATTTTGAGATGAAAATTTCACTATCACCCCTTTTCTTGCATTTATTTAATATTTGAATGTGGTTTCATTATTCAATCGTCGGTCCATTCGACTGACAGTCGAATAGTCGACTATTCGTTGACATCCCTAATAGAAACAAATGGATGGTAGCGTATATTGTATTCCTTCAGAGATGTTTATGTCAGTAGGTTGTTTCCGTATGACTGAAGTCAACAATGGTTTCCTAATGTTTTTATCTACTATTACAATGCAAGGATGTTGATAGCGAGCGCAGCTTGTCACTGAAGCTTTTAAAGCAACACTTGGGCGAAGAGAAAATTCGGACTACTGCACATTCATTTGTCAGATTTTTTTCCCTCAGTAACTTTGGACCCACAATGCATCGCTTGTTAAAGATACATTCTTGTGAGAAAAGCAGCAATAGTTCATCTAAAAGTTTTAACATGTTGTGATTTAGTGAATAAATATTGAAGATAAATAGTAAACGAAACGTTCTATATATACTTTCAGCACCGTTCAAGCTTCTTTTTTGTAGGCTAATGTAAGTTACTTACGTAGTCAGATGACGTCAGAGTTTAGACGCATCAAATGGCATGTGCGGCTTGATGAACCGGATCTAAATAAAAACAAAAGAAATATATCTGCGCTCATCAGAATGGTTGCACAGTCAACATATTAAATTTGATTTAGTAATAATTAAGAGAGCAACGATAAACATGTTATATTTACAGTACATTCTTTTGTTTGTAAGGAATTTATTGTACAGAGATGGGTGGTAGTCGAGTAGTGTAGCGACAAGACAGCCACGCCTCTCTATATAATAAATTCCTTACAAACCCAAGAAAGTGTCAAAAGAAAAAGTACCGCACCATGACACAATTTGATTTAAACATTATGTTGTGGTATATATTTCCACTGTTCAATTCATGATGCGTTACAGTGATATCACGGTTTGGTTCAATCAATTCATAATTATCAGAATTGTCAATTTAGGTTCCTTTTTTACATTTTCAAATGGCTTACAAGGGAACATATGGTCGACGAAATTGCAGAAACGGCAGTTAAATATGTCTCTAGAATATTATAAACCTCAAGTAAACAATAGTATTTGAACAGTTTTCCATAAAAATAATCAAATACTTCTTCGAATGCACCGTGATCAAATGCACTGTCTAAACAATGTATGACACATATGACACAAGATAAGGCCTAGTTAAGAGAAAAAAATTTCCAATGATCCAATCAACACTAAATGTTAAAGAAAGTTGTGGAAGAAAATTAATTGAAAGCTAAAAATAATGTTATTCTTACCTACCCACACTAAATTTTTTCAGTTATTAAAGGAGATAAAAACATTGTTTTCTAGGCTTAAATGATTCAAGATTTCATTGTCTAAAATTTATATTTTATTTTTAAAAGACTAACAGAAATGACGCAAACAGAAAAAGCTGTAGCAGTGCCACCAATTCATCATACTCCACAGTTCTTGTAAGTACAATTATATCTATAGTACTCTAAGTACCACACACTCCTTAGTTCTTGTAAGTACCATTTTAATCACAGTACTTTACCGCCCCCCCCCAGTTTTTGTACTGAAGATGAAATTAAAAACTGAATTTCTGTGTCATAAATGCCTACAAACCTATTCATTTCAGCCCCATTCCTAAGATTATCAATGGTGCCATAGCTGGGATAGTGGGCGTCACGTGTGTCTTCCCTATCGATCTCGTCAAAACACGACTTCAGAATCAACAGCCGATGCCCAATGGAGAACTCTACTACAAAAGCTTGTAAGATGGCTGTATAATAATAATGCTTTATAGATAAAAACATGCAACATTTTTGATTTTAAAAATAGTCAATTCTGATTTCAGACAATTTAAGTATTCTGATTCATACATTTTACTTTAATTTTAGGTTTGACTGTGCCAAGAAGACCTTCAAGCATGAAAGATTTCTCGGAATGTATAGAGGTAGAAAAAGACTTTAGCAGTGTTTTCTTATGGACAAATAGATTGCAGTATTAGAAGTAGACTATAAATATACATGATATGATTATACAGCAATGTTTAACTTTTATAGAATATATTACCTTATGTTATACATGGTCTGGGCCTTTTTTAGCTCACCTGAGCCGAAGCATCCAGGGGTAGCGTAGATTCTAAATTGTTCAAATCATGACCCTCGGGGGTTGGGCGGGGCCGCAATAGGGAACCAAAGTTTTACATAGAAATATGTAAGAAAAATCTTTAAAAATCTTCTTCTCAAGAAGCACTGGGTCAGAAAAGCTGAAACTTATGTGGAAGCATCCAAGGGTAGTGCAGATTCTAAATGTTCAATATATTGGGGTCACAAAAGGTATTACAATGTTATTCAGAATAGCATGATCAAAGCTTCTCAGGTGAGCCTTTTTATAAACTTTTCTGCCTCCTTACAAAAAAGAGTTGTAGTGATGATTTATAATCTCACTTCTTTTGTTGGACAGGCTCCGCTGTGAATCTGCTTCTGATCACACCAGAAAAGGCCATCAAACTCGTCGTCAATGACTACCTACGATACAAATTTACAGATAAAAAGTAAGAGAGGAATTAAACTGTTACATAGAGAATCTGTTTGATAAAAAATCTTGAACAATACTGCCCATATTTCTTAAAATTTTCTAAGATTTTAAGTTAGTTCTAAGTATTTTATCAAATTTGTGATTTAGGTTGGACAAGTGTGATTGGCTTTTCAATGAAAATTTCCATACTTAAAATAAAAAAAGGGGAGGGGGGAGTGTTATTACATAGTATGTGCCTAGTAGATGTATTATAACAGATGTTATTTGGCAATGGTGTCCTTTGTTTTGTGGAAGTCACTGATTTTTCTGTGGTTTGCTTTCTTGAGGAGGACTTTGACCTATGTTTGTATATTTCTTCTGTAGGAGTGGTGTACTGTCGAGTGGTGGTGCCATTATCTCAGGGGCAGGGGCTGGTCTCTGTCAGATTGTAGTCACCACACCCATGGAACTCCTCAAGATCCAGCAGCAGGATGCTGGGAGAAGTGGTAGGACTTCTTTATCTCAAAATGATATCTGTCTATGATATGCTGGGAGAAGTGGTATGACTTCTTTATCTCACAATGATATCTCTCTATATTTACATTTGCAAATGTTTTCCTTTATATAACACTACAGAAAGCAATGCATATCTATAACTGTATAAATACAGGTACGGGGTTAAGAGGTCACAGATGTGCGTATGGGTAAACGTTCGACGTAATTTCTCAGTGATGTCATAAAGCATCGATGCGCGTTCAGTGGATTACATACACGCTGTTGGGTTTGAAAAATAATGCATTTCACATGTTAAAAGTCACAATCAAATATGAAAAGTCTCTAAGGTATCTTTTAAAACAATGATATGATTATCTCACAATTATAACTGTCAGTGATATGCTGGGAGAAGTGGTATGGCTTCTTTATCTCAAGATGTAGGCATTCCCTTTGTGTATAAAACAGCATAAAAATTTACATGTAATAGTTATTATCCTGAATTGCCAAACATTCAATGTGCAAAGAGCAATGTTGATTAGTATAAACTTTAACAGAATGATACTTGATATCCCATCTCATTGTCAGGTGCTGCTAAGATGGAGCGTATAACTGCCACTGGTACGGCACTCAAGCTGTTCAGAGAAAAGGGAATTCTGGGTATTTACAAAGGATTCAGAGCCACAGCACTTAGGGATGTCACATTCTCTGCCATTTATTTCCCTCTGTTTGCAATTGTCAATGAAAAGGTGAGTTACTGGATTTTTATTAAAAGAATTACTCAAGTTGTAAATAAATTTTCATCTTTTTATGCATATCAATTTTGTTCAACATTATTTTAAAGGAAATATTGACCTTCGTAATGGTTTAGTGGGAGGTCTGGACCAGCCTTTGGTTTATATTTTGGTCGATTTGTTCATGAATTGTTCCTCTTCAGTTTTAGCTGATTTCCGAATTGTTCCTTGTCTGTTGTAGCTGATTTCTGATTTGTACCTTTTCTGTTGAAGCTGATTTTGATTTATTCCTTTTCTGTTGTAGCTGATTTCTGATTTGTTCATTTCTGTTGTAGGTAATTTCTGATTTATTCCTTGTCTGTTGAAGCTGATTTCTGATCTTTTCCTTTTCTGTTGTAGCTGATTTCTGATTTGTTGTCTGTTGTAGCTGATTTCTGATTTCTTGTCTGTTGTAGCTGATTTCTGATTTCTTCCTTTTCTGTTGTAGCTGATTTCTGATTTCTTGTCTGTTGTAGCTGATTTCTGATTTGTACCTTTTTAGGTCACCTGAGTAACTCAGGTGACTTATTGCTATCTGTTTTCGTCCGTTGTTGTGCGTCGTTCTTTAACATTTTCAGCTTCTTCTCTGAAACCACTGAACCAATTTCAACCAAATTTGGTATACAGCATCTATGGGTGAAGAAAAACAAAATTGTGAATTTCATGGTCCCCACCCCCCTGGGGCCTGAGGGGTTGGGCCAAAACCACTAAAATTATTGCAAAATTTAAAAATCTTCTTCTTTACTCCTGGACATCAAGCAGTTAGCATGAATGTAATGAGCATTGAGTCCTCTACCAAAATTGTGAAATTCATGGCCCCAGGGTCAGGGGTTCTAGTGCTAGGGCGGGGCTATATAGATTATATAGTGAAAATGCATTATTTCTTTGAAAATCTTCTTCTCTGCTCCTGGGTATTAAATAAACTATCTAAGTACATAGTTATGATGAGCAAGAATGCGTCTTCCAGATTTGTGAAATTTATGTCCCCAGGGTCAGGGGTTCTGGTGTTAGGGCAGGGCTCTGTAGATTTTATAGTGAAAATGCATTTATTCTTTGAAAATCAACTTCGCTGCTTCTGGGTATTAAATAAACTCACTAAGTAAAAAGTTATGATAAGCAAGAGTGCCTCTTTCAGATTTGTGAATTTTGATGGCCCCAGGGTCAGGGGTTCTTGTTTTAGGGCGGGCTCTATAGATTATATAGTGAAATTGCATTTATTCTTTGAAAATCTTCTTCGCTGCTGCTGGGTATTAAATAAACTAACTAAGTACATAGTTATGATAAGCAAGAGTGCCTCTTTCAGATTTGTGAATTTTATGGCCCCAGGGTCAGGGGTTCTGGTGTTAGGGTAGGGCTCTATAGATTATATAGTGAAAGTGCATTTATTCTTTGAAAATCTTCTTCTCTGCTTCTTGGTGTTAAATAAACTAACTAAGCACATAGTTATGATGAGCAAGAGTGCCTTTTTCCAAAATTGTGATTTTTATGCCAATGATCCAAGTATATATATTTATGATGAAGAAAGGTGCATCTAGAAAAAATGG